TAGGTGGAAAAAACCTATGGAACTGTCGTTCAACCCATTAGATGGTGCCGGGGCTGGCAGGCTACAAGAAACGTTTAGGATCGCCTGAGTTTTATAGAGATGAAAATGTTGCGAGAAATAGATAATTACACAGAATTCTGTTCGATCGGCCTTCGGTTTCCTTAGATGACGATTTCAAGTTGGCATCACACGTGAAGCAGTTGTCGCAATTTGGTAAGAAAAAATTCTCTTTTCAGATCAATACACACAGCAACACAAGCCTGTTTCAGAGAACTTTATTCAGATTCCTTCTTTCGAAGGTGCAGACGTTTCACGAGCGTCTTACTCCCAGTAGAGGCACAAAACTTTTAGCTTCTCACCGTCGACCAAACTGTTGCATCCATATATCGTTTGTGGGGCGAGAGACTTTATCTAAACAAGCGGATGAGTCCGAATTCGAAACCTCATGAAGTGCGTCTTTTATGTCTGTTTTGCAGCGTTGCGTGCACAGTCGTACGGTTACACCACAGCTCTCGCAATTAGCACTAGCTTCACATTTACCTGCACGTCGACAAAGGAAATCTATTTGGAGGAGCATATGATGGTTTAACAAATGCTATATTTTTCATTTGAACGGTCTTAAGGGAGGAATGCGGTTCAGAGGAAGGTGCGTAGTGTTTTCCCACTTCACCTATGGGTAAAAATAGGTTTTTAAGTGAAACTTTTGAAAATGTTAGCTCACTTTATTTTTTCCACTTCCAGCTGCAAGCGCCAGTCGCACTTTGCGGCCGAGCGGCAACCCGCTGTACTTGCCAGCGAAAGTCCTTCAAAGGAACAGAGTAAACTTTGTTTCAATGGAGAATCAACGAAGAGATAAACAAGCGGGCATGTGCCCACCGCCTACCTTTCAGCCTCGTATCTAACGTTGACATTATTGGGTTCTAGCCCCACTAGGTCATAGCAAGCTGCATACGAAAGCTCGTTGTCCCACTCCTGCAAGCGAAAAATAGCCATCAATAGAACGGTGGAATTTTAACAGGACATCGGTCTCAAAGTGGATCGGTTGTGCAGTGGAGAAAAATGACTAACCAAATTAGGGTTGTACCTTCCATTAAAATCGATATACTCTTTACTCAGTGGTTCATAGGTGGTGCATTTTGCGAGTGCGTCGGTATCTGAAAGGCGCTAGTTTGTGGCCATGTTAAATCGGAGCAATCCTTATTGATTGCCTTGATTTTGCAGGAGACCCACAAATCTCAACACGGAAATAACAGAACTTACATTCATTGCTGGCGTTCACCAGGAGGAAACACAACCCTACGAGAACGAACAACATTGCCGTCGTGACAACTTCTGCCGGACTTCCACTCCTTTTATGCTAATCCCTCTCGAACAGCACCATTTACTGTGCGCTTCTTTTTAAACACGTCATTGCACGTGCTCTGCCTTTTCAAAGGCGACATTTATTCTGGAATTGATTGGAACCGAATGTGTTTATGCCAATACAGTACTCGCCGTAATTGTTTAAAAAGTTACGTTTTCACTTTATAGAGCTGTTCCTCTTGACATTTTGTATGGATACTCATATATGGCTAGAATCCTATGTATCCGAGGATATGCTCATATTCTACGACATTGGGTTTTGGCCGGCGCCATTTGGCGCCATTTGGCGCCACTTTGCGACACCTTAGCGCCACAACTTTCTCAACAACATCTGTATAAACTTGCTTACTGGGGCTATTCAGTGCCCTGTTCACGAAAGTGGCATTCATTTCTAGCCGTGGCGCCATTTGGCGCCATTAGGTGCCAATTTGGCGCCACTGAGCGCCAGTTCAGGCGACACAACCTTGCCCAAAGAATCTGTATAAACTTGCATAATGGGGTTTCTCGGTGCCCTGATCACGAATGTAACATTCATTCCTAGCCATGGCGCCGTTCGGTGCCATTTGGTGCCAATTTGGCGCCACTACTTTTTTCACCAAAATCTTTATAAACTCGCAGCCTGGTTTGTGGAATGGTCACGTGATCGTCATTTGCAAACATACAAAATCACGTGAGCTTGCGGCGCAGGCGGCTATGCGCTCACCATAGCCTTATTTACGTGATTAGTGCATGCATTTTTAGTTCACATTCTTCTTCACATTCTTCTTTCATTCATTCACCATTATAACACATACAGTCTCAGGCATGTCGATCAGACTCTGCATCAGCGTTACTTATGAAAGGAATTTCAGGGAAATCAGGAGTCAAGAATCCTTTTTCTGCGCCGGCGCGAATGGACTCTACTCACTCTGTTAAGGCTGGTTATTCGTGATTAGGGCATCGAACCACACCACCCCATGCATGTTTTTATCAATTTTGGCGAAACTGAGGTAGCGCCAAATTGGCACAAAATAGCACAGAATGGCGCCATGGCTGGAAATGAATGTCACTCCCGTGATCAGGGCACCGAAAAACCCCATTTTGCAAGTTTATACAGATTTTGTTGGAAAGGTCGTGTCGCCGAACTGGCGCTCAGTGGCGCCAAATTGCTTTCTAATGCGCCAAATGGCGCCATGGCTAGAAATGAATGCCACATCCGGCAGGGCACCGAATAACCCCAGTGAGCAAGTTTATACAGATGTTGTTGAGAAAAGTTGTGGCGCTGAGGTGTCGCCAAGTGGCGCCAAATGGCGCCAAACGGCGCCGGCCAAAACCCAATGTCGTAGAATATGAGCATACCCTCGGATACAGCTCGGCGAGCTGATTCTAGCCATATATGGGTATCCATACAAAAAGTCAACAGGAACAGCTCTATAACGAAAAACGAAAAAAATGCGGATC